GATCCGACCAAACTGAGCAAGAACACTGTGGGCGACGTGGGCACCCTCTGCATGCTGCATTAAACCGATCAGCAGCTGCATGTTGGCGTCTGCTGGCGATCGGGTTAACCCGATCATTGTTTCCATAAACAGCTTTTACTTTTACAATAGTTTCGTTCGCGGTAAGGATTCTGAACTGGTTCGAAACTATTTCGCATGCGCAGCAACCAGAATCGGTTCGGAACCGTTTCTGAACCAGTTCTAGCGGTCCTAGGATTTTAGCAAGAACTTCACTGCCGCTACGGCAAAAAGTTGGGTTTTGTTGAACTTTTCGGCGTAATCGTGGCGAAGTTGTGACGTTTGTGTTTGTTTTTTCTGATATAGGATAGAAAAATCACAGAAAACCAAAGGAAAAGGACTACAACAACGAATTAGTAAATTTTAATTACGACCAGACAAAAAATGAATAAATGAATGAATATTTGGGTTAGAAAATGTTTTTGTTTTGGTTTTGATGCACTAAATTTGGGATGAAATGCCAAAATTGGCATAGAATTGACGTTCATGGCGATTGCGCTAATTACGCCAGTGGGGATTAGACAGTCTGGAGAAGTCGTTCCAAAACTATTGGCGATAAAATAATGGCGTTTTCCATTTGTTGCACGGAGGTGCACTCAGTGCAATTTTAAAATTCCATTTGACTGCACATTATCAGTTTTTATTTTCCAATTGAAATCCAGTGCAATTATGTATGCACTCAGTGCGCATTTCTTGGCACGAGCTAGGAAAGCTCGTGGAGAGCCAGTGCAGTTTGTTTTGTTTTTGTTCACATGTACAGTTGCGATCAATAAAAAGTAGTACAAGAAAAATCTCCAAAATCTCCTGGTCTATTATACAGTAATTTAATTCATAACCAAAAATTACATATTTTTGGCATTTTTCATTAAGTTTTTAACCTAGAAAGCTTCAGGGGCGCGTTCAGATTGAAGAGTCCGGACGACGTCCAGTGAAGAGCCGAAGAGCGCACCCGATAGAGAGCGCACTCCGAGTGTGCCCGGCGATTCGCCCAATCTGAACGGCCAAGACGCAAGACGCATTCTCTCTTTATAACCTCACTGATTCTAACATTTTTGCCATTTTCTTCGAAATTTTTTAAATAAATACTAACTATGGAAGAAGCCATAGTATCTTCCTTCATATTTAAAGAGTTATTTAATGATGAGGACGCTTCATCTTCGGACCACGAGGATGTGCTAGTGTCAGTGATTGCTATCAATTTAGCATCACAAACTAAACAAAAAAAAAGAGGCCACTTTTTTTTTAAATAGAGTTGATGAGGATAACGAAGAATTTGGATAAACCCACCATAACTCGCAAAAATAATTATTTACAATATTTGCCTTTATTATTTAAGGTTAGAACACAAACGCGCATGCGGGGCAAATTTTATCTTGCTATTTTATGGGACGCAAAAGTGTGCGTCCGGGCGTCGTCCGGTAAAAATCTACTGACAATCTGAACGGCTGGGTAAATTTTACCCAAGGCAATCTGAACGGTCAGAGCGCGCTCGGGCGACAACCGACGTTCAATCTGAACGCAGCCCAGATGATATCACATAGGGCAATCCAAACAAAATGGTGGTCAATGCATGGTCAATGCCAAAAAATTGGCGCCATAAATTTACTTCAAGCAATCGTGACATTTTTCATCAAGAAACTGTTTTTGTGTATTTTGTGGTGCTTTTAGATGATTTTCTAGTGTTTGGGAGGATAATTTTCGTATTCTAAGATGGAAAGTTTTTAGTTTAAGAAATTAATAGTGGAAAAAAGGCATTGGCCTCCATTTTGACAGGTCGTTGAAATGCCCTATTGGCACCCGTTTCTAACCTAGAAAATGTCATTGCCTGACCTTACCATATTTTGAAATGTTTATTTACTGTCAAAATTTGTATGTTACACCAGGAGCTCAAATTGGGGTGTATAATAATTGTACTACTTTTTTTTGATCGCAACTGTACAGGGTATTTGATTATATTTGACACCATACCTACAGCCTTTACTATTTAAGATAGAAATAAATTTTAAATACAAAACTTGACAGTTTTTTTCTATATTTTCTTTTGACAGTATCAGAAAAAACAAAATCGCATCAAAAAATGGAGAAACGTAGGCACTTCAACTTTTTTCAATGGAACACCCTGTATATTATGCGATAAAATTAAAGATCTTTTCTTCCTGATTTGAGCACATTATTTGAGTGAGCCGTTTTTGAAATATTTTAGCTTAAATTTGCAAAGTAATTTCATAAGGATGTCAAGACATTTAAATCTTCATAAAATTCCTTTGGATTTTATTTAAAACTTAAGCTAAGATAATATCAAAAACGACTCACTCAAATATGATCAGTATATACAGGGTGTTAATAAATAGTGGGATCAAACTTCTAGGATAAATAGTACTAATTAAAATAAGAAAAAAGTTAATAGAAACATGGGTCCGCGAATGCTTAGTTTTCAAGATACAGGGTGTCAAAGTTTGAAAAAAAATCGGATTTTTAGCTCAAAAATCCCTTTTCCAATTTTCTTTTCCAAATTTGGCAGGTTTGTTTGTGATAACAAAAGGTATCTTTTGCGTTTTGACTGTAATATGACTTAATCTGCAAAATATCAAAGTTATAAAAAAAAGTGATATGCCATTTTTTTCTACTTTTGCCAACATAGTTGTCCTCTGGGGTGCCACTAGAATAATTACGGTAAATCTAATTGAATCAAAAGATACCGTTTGTTATTATTACAAACAAATCTGCCAAGTTTAAAGAAATTCTGGAAACGGATTTTAAAAAGCCGATTTTTTCAAACTTTGACACCCTGTATGTTGAAAACTAAGCATTTGCGGACCTATGCTTCTATCAACTTTTTTCTTATTTTAATGAGTACTATTTATCCTAGAAGTTTGATCCCACTATTTATTAACACCCTGTATATCTATATTTGGAATCAGGAAGAAAATTTTTATCGCATAATATACAGGGTGTTCCATTGAAAAAAGTAGAAGTTGCCTACGTTTCTCCATTTTCCGATGCGATTTTGTTTTTTCTGATACTGTCAAAAGAGAATATAGAAAAAAACTATCAAGTTTTGTATTTAAATTTTTTTTCTATCTTAAATAGTCAAGGCTGTAGGTATGGTGCCAAATATAATCAAATACCCTGTACCTACCGTACATGAAAATTTGAAAAATTTCTGCTAATATTTCCAAAGAAAAAGCTGTTGCTCTCTTGGATTTATTATGTAGCATCAGTGAAGATGAATCCGATGATTATATTATTTGAATGAGTTCTACAGCTTATAGTATTGAAAAAATTTCAAGCAAAAACCAAAGCATCAAAAAATATATCTATTGTTACTTTTGAGAAGGCGGTGGAGGGGCGTCAAAATTTGGCCTTGCCTTGGGCGCCGAGGGTTCTAGTTGCGGCCCTGCTAAGGACGCTAAGTGCCTTGGCCTATTATTAGTTATAGCAAGTTGTTGTTTTTGAAGCCTATAAAAATTAAATATTCAAAAAAGAAGTATAGTTATTTAACTCGTAGAAACAATATTGTTCCTAACACGTACGCAAAGTAGTTTTCCCGCACTTAAAGCTTATCCGAACTCCGCTTCGCGTCGTTCGTCTAACTATTTTCGCGTGCGGGAAAACATTACTATCCCCTATCCCCTATTCAAATTTGGGGGGTTGTTCTCCTCCTAGCTAGGGGGTCGAAGCTACGGGGATCAAACAAACTGAAAAATAAACTAAGCGGCAGATGAAGTGGGACACCCGAAAAATTGCCTGATTTTGTTTGTTGTTTGTTGTAGCATTTTATCTGAACCGCCATAATTTTCAATTAGATTGAAGAAATGAGCAACGGAAAGTGGAAAAATATGTCGATGTTCTTTTTTCAAATGGAATGTCCTTTATTTTCTTTCAAATTCTTGAAGTTCTCGTTTTTCTGATTCAGAACATGTTTCTTTCAATAGTTTTGAAAATATCTAGAGTTCAGTGATTATTCAAACACGGTAATTTTTTGAATATATTTTAACTTGATTTACCTGTCCTGTCACAAAACATTCTGATACCTGGATAGATCCTTGAATAACTTAACTTCAGATATTTCCATAACTAAGTATTGAAATTCAGAACATGTTGTTTCTTTCAATAGTTTTGAAAATATCTAGAGTTCAGTGATTATTCAAACACAGTAATTTTTTGAATATATTTTAACTTGATTTACCTGTCCTGTCACAAAACATTCTGATACCTACCTGAATAGATCCTTGAATAACTAAACTCCAGATATTTCCATAACTATTGAAAGAGATTGAGGGGGAACTATTTAGTTCCCCCTCAAATCAAACATCGACGTGTCCGAGCGTTTTTCCAGATTCTCATCCCAAATCCAATAAATTGGGGTGGACACCCTGTATAATAATATGTTAATATCTCTTTCAATAGTTATGGAAATATCTGGAGTTTAGTTATTCCAAGGATCTATCCAGGTAACAGAATGTTTTGTGACAGGACAGGTAAATCAAGTTAAAATATATTCAAAAAATTACTGTGTTTGAATAATCACTGAACTCTAGATATTTTCAAAACTATTGAAAGAAACAAAATGTTCTGAATCAGAAAAACGAGAACTTTAAGAATTTGAAAGAAAATAAAGGACATTCCATTTAAAAAAAGTGAACATCGACATATGTCTTCACTTTCCGTTGCTCATTTCTTCAATCTAATTGAAAATTCTGGCGGTTCAGATAAAATGCTACAACTTTTGTTTTTACACCTTTTACCTATCACCTGTAATTACGGCTGCAGGTGGGTATCAAAATATAGTGACTCACCCTGTAGGACCTACTATTTATCATAGTTTCAAATTTCTTGGGTCACCTCTGTAACACAAAAAAAAGCCTTTTTACAAATTCGTGTGTTTCTCCTCTAAATTTCATCAAGATGATTTCTTAAAATTATTTAATTCTTGATTTCAGAATAAGTCTTTTGTGAGAATTGTAGAAGTTGGCGCTCGTGATGGTCTCCAAAATATACCAACCAATATTTCTACTGAAGTCAAAGTTGGACTCATCAACCGTCTATCAGAAACTGGTTTGAAGACAATTGAAGTTACAAGGTAGAAAACATAAAACATTTCCTTTAAAACTAGCCTAGCTTTGAAATTTCAGTTTTGTAAGTCCAAAATGGGTCCCACAAATGGCAGACAATACAAGAGTGTTTCAAGAAGTCAATAAGAAAAAACTCATTTCTTATCCTGTTTTAGTTCCCAATTTGAAAGGTTTAGAAGCAGCTGTAAGTCCTTTTTTTAAACCATTTTTTGGTTTGATAGTTTGTAACTTAATTTAAATTTTCAGATAAAAGTTGGTGCCAAGGAAATTACAGTGTTTTTATCAGCATCTGAAGGATTATCGAAAAAGAACATCAACTGCACAATTGACGAAAGTTTAGTGACAGCAAAAACCGTCATCAGCAAAGCTAAAGAGAGCAATTTAAAAATACGGGGCTATATTTCCTGCACTGTCGGTTGTCCTTATGATGGGTACATAAAACCAGCTTCAGTAGCTAAAGTAGCTGAAGCATTGCTCAGCTATGGTTGCTATGAAATATCTTTAGCAGACACTATAGGAGTAGGAACAAGGAGTTCTGTGGAAAAAATGCTCGAAGAAGTTTTAATCATAGCTTCACCTGACAAGTTAGCTATTCATTGTCATGACACATATGGGCAAGCTTTAGTGAACGTTTTTACAGCTCTAGAAAAAGGTTTAACAGTAGTAGACTCTTCAGTAGCAGGTCTTGGAGGTTGCCCATATGCAAAGGGAGCCACTGGCAATGTAGCTACAGAAGATTTGGTTTACATGTTGCACGGACTAGGCGCTGAAACTGGAGTAGATTTAAATAAACTTGTAGAAGCTGGCAGGTTCATATCAGATTATCTTGAGAGACCTCCAGCGTCTAGGGTTAATAATGCTCTGTTTTCAAAAATGAAGTAAAAATCGATAATAAAAAGGTTCAATATGAATAATTATGGATTATTACTTACTTACTTATCCCAATGACAAAAATTTACTTATCTATAATAATAAAAAAACATAAAAACTATTTCTCAAAAAAAATCAAATTTATATATGTGGTTGGCGCATGAGTGGAGGCAGGATAAATTTAGATCACTGCGCTACTGCTGTGATAAAAATCGAACAGGAGAGAGAAACTATTCGGATTTCAAATTCAAAGCGAAGTTAGGTTAGTTAGTATCAGCCGGTAGCCTTCGGATCCTGATATAAAAATAAATTAATAAATAGGTATGACATCACCATACTGTTAAATTGTTGTTGTTTTTCAGTTGCTTGTTGGATCGAAAAATATTTTTTAAGGTAAAGCAAAGTAGATTTTTATTATAAACGTGCGATTAAAATATATCTATCATTTTAAAGGTATCTAATTGAACTTTGCTACCATACCTATTGAAAATGAGTGTGAGTAAGGAATCCCCCGTTATCGAAAAGAAGTTATCAAGTGATTTCAGCATTGTTGGTATTATCACAAGCACTCTTAAAAAGGTATGTAATTGATTGTAATTAAATTCAATCCATTATTATTAAGTGATTAATTATAGTTAAAGCACAGCTTTAAAATGGGCATTTTATATCTAAAAATAGTTTATTAGCAGGTGTTTTATTAAGAACCAATTGGTTTTCAGTTAGTAAACAAAATTTAATAAAATCTTCATAGCTAGTTTTCAACTATATATTTTAAAAATTATGCATGTCCTATTTTCAAAGTTGAAACATAGACGGCCTCTTGGACGGCCTTCTCTTGCTTGTACCTACTGTACTGAAAAATCCAAATTTTCCATCCAGGGTATAGCCAAAAGGTAATCCTAGTTCGATTATCTTTGCTGTAGCTATTCCAATTAGACTGGATACCTATTTCCATTTGGGAACAGAGAATAAAAATAATGGAGGGAATGCATAAATAGTAGTAGATGCTATTGCTAGTCCATCTACTTAGTAGCATTTGCTTTCACAGAAGTATCTGCTTCACCTACGAAGAATATACTACACTGTGTGGTATCAGGTCTTCAAAAAAAAACCATTCAAAGATTGCTATGGTTTTTTAAACATATGTCTCTCAGCAATATTTTTATTTAATTTTGTCACTGACTTTATTAGAGAGTTATTGGAACTATTAAATACTGCCTCGCAGTATTAAGGATCTACACTTTATTTTTTCCCAAGATAGATTTTGACATTGAAAACTTTGAAACATAAACAATAACGCTTGACCCTGATTGGTCGCAAAATGAGGTGTTTCTGCAGGTTGACATCAGTTTTACAATAGCAACCAATAAGCGAAATTAGCAGCATTGTTTATGTTTCAAAGTTGACAATGCCAAAATCTATCTTGGAAAAAAATAAACCATACATTATTTTATTAGTGCATCAGCACTATTTTTCCAAGAAAAAACAGTTATTGGAAGACTGTAGTAGGTGCTAGAGTATTACCTTATTTTGTATTCATAATTTTGACAGAGGATAGCTGTTTATAAATTTCAGCCTCAAAAAGTATTTATTTTTGTTTGTGATTTTCTGCTGATACCTACTCATTTTTTGATGTTACCCACAGTAAAATGGAAAACTATTGTAAAAAATAAATTTTTCCCCGAATGACAGTAAAAGCGGCCTTTTAATGACACTTGTCAGGATCAAAAGTTGCATTTTTACTGCCTAGGCAGTAAAAGTGGACTTTTACTGCCTAGGCATTAAAAGTGACAGTGTCACAACGTTCCAGGGGGCGTTCACAGTGGTTTTCCCTGGGTAAAACTTAACCAGGTTAAATATTTCACTGGTTAAAAAGGATGCGCTTGGGATGACAAATCCGTGAACGACTAACGCCTGCGCCATAACGAGGTAGGATTTGATTTTGTTTTCCTTTTGTTTACATAATATGTTATGTTGTGTTTCGAATGTTTCGAGATGGATCCGGGAATAATATTTTTTAAAAGTACTATTGAAACTTCTTCGGATTCGTCTGATACAGAGGAAGAAGTCAGCTATGCTGTAGCACAAGCTGCATGTGCTAGCGCTAGCAGTTTATGTTCAAGCCTGAAAAGAAGCATATTGAAAGACAGGATAATTTTATGGCAACAATACGCAATTATAGCGATAAGGAGTTTCAGGAAAATTTTAGAGTTTCCAGAGAAGCTTTCAACTGGCTTCCTGGAAAACTTGAAAACCAGTTGAAGTCAGCAATGCATGGCCCAGAAAGATTACCAACAGTATTGTTTATCAAATTTCAAATATTCTTGTAAAACGTCTGCGCGACAAATTTTACCCATGTCTCAGAGTGGGTTAAAAAGTTGTACAACCGGGTAAACTTATCATGGCTCTGTGAACGGAGCAAATATTTTAACCGGGTGAATTAGGTAGATCCGTGAACGACTTAACCCTGCAAAAGACGCGCTCGGTGTGCACTCGGTGAGCGTCCGGCGTTCGACTGTGAACGCACTCCAGGTAATAATTTCACTCAATTTGGCATTTGAAATTGATGGTTACAATGACAATTGTCAAAATAATTTAATTATTTGGATAATAATATGAATGAAATAAATATAAAAAAAAATGTCCATGTGTGAATTTGAACATTCGGAGAAAAAATTATATGTTTTACATGGCAGAAAAGCAGATTTAATGCCGTGGCTGGTGTTCCATAGCCGAGGCATAGCCTCGGCTATGGAACACCAGCCACGGCATTAAATCTTGTACTTTTCTGCCTAGTGAAACAAATAACTATTTTTTAGTAAAATTACGTTATCGTCGAAAAGTAAAACGTCAAAGTCGTCCAAAATGTCAGAAATTTGAAATAAGGGAAGTTTACTGCCTCGCACTAACCATACACAAATAAAGACAAGCAGTAACCTTACTAAGGGAATCCTTATTTTCGGACCCAAATGCGCATGCGTAGATGTCAAAATAAGGCTAATTTAAATACTGCTTGTCCTTATTGCACGTCCAATAACTCTCTATTGTCAAAATGACATGTCGAAAATCCTGACCAATAAAAGCCGCTTTCCAGCTGTGTGCTTCAAGCTCGGTGCAGCACAGTGTTCTGCACAGTGTTCTGTGTTTGAAGTGCAAAAGTTAGCAGCTCTCGAAGCGCAGTACGGCTGGAACACGAACACGCGCTTGAAGCATTTGCGCGCGCAAAAGCTCGATTGCGTGCTCAAAAGCGTCAGCTGGAAAGCGGCTAAAGAAACAATAATGTGACATACCTTTTCGTAATCAGAGAAGTCTTCCTTTGGTTTTGAAGACCCGTTACAACAGAAGTACCCTACTGCTTGATTGAAGTAGCTACTGTCGTGGGGCATTGTGCGTTACTGCATATATGAATGAATGAATGAATGAATGTATGTATATTTACGGACTGGCCATTTACAGAGATAGTCTAGTACAAGTACATGAGCATTTGTTTCCTTAACCTATACTTAAAAGTTAATAAACTAGGAACAAAAAAAATCAAAATTGCTGTTTAGATCACAGAGAGTATTTGCGCTTCTACACATTCTTTGGATTGGCCTATTCATGGCATAATTGGTAGCATGAAATTCTATATAAAATAGATCTTGAGACCTCGTGTATATTAGAGGAACAATAATAGTATATTACAATCCGAGACGGGAAATGCTTCATTACTGGTCGAGAGGTTTTATAGTTTATCGAGACGCGTAGCGTCGAGATAAACTGAACCTCGAGACAGCAATGAAGTTTCCCATCGAGGGTTGTATACTATTTTATTTTTAACCATAATTTCTTGAAAAAAAAAAATTCGGGGCAACCAAATGAGGTCGGCAAATGAAGAGGAAAATGAGAACGGGAATTATTTCCCTGCTCCATTTTCCGTCCAAAAATAAAATTAATTCTACTGAGCAAATCTGGTGTTTTCAATTGACCAGTAACAATTTTATATAAGATACTTGAGTCTAAATAAATTCTCCTATTTTCCAAAGCCGGCAACCGCAACAAAGTCAAGATGTCTGCATAGTTTATTTCATTTGATGGAATACCTAGCTTGTATGCAATAAACCTAAGGAACTTTTTTTGAACTTTCTCAATTTGCTCTTTGTTACATAAATAGTGAGGTGACCAAACATTACAACCATATTCTAGTGATGATCTGATAACAGAACAATAAGAGACTTGAAACAGTTTACATCATCAAAATCTGAAAGACTTCTTTCTATAAATTCTAGCAGTTTTAGAGAATTATTGGTTACGAATTCAATGTGTTCTCTAAAGCACAACGTAGGGTCGAAAATTATGCCTAGATCCTTTGTTGAAGTTACATTTTCCAAATCTTCAGAATCTAACCTATAGTCAAATATGTATTATAGGATTTTTATTTCTATAATACCTCATTGCTTTACATTTATTTATATTCAATGAAAGGCCATTTACATTACACCATATATACAGCCTGTTAAGATCATTCTGAATTCTAGCTGATAAATATTGATTAATTTTGACTCTCTGTGTGCGCTCTGAAAGAAAACTCCCTAACCATAATAACAGTGACCCATGTAATCCCATATTCGATATTTTTGACAGCAAGACTGAGTGATTTGTCGAACGCCTTCGAAAAATCAGTGTATATAACATCAACCTGACACCGTTCCTCCAAGGCGTCCAACAGTAGTTCTTCAAACTCCAAGAGATTGCTGGTGGTAGATTTACCTGGAACGAATCCATGCTGTTCACTAATTAGTAAATTATATAGGAGTAACAAATCTTGGAGCTTACAATCTGTTCGAGGATTTTGGGGAAAATAGAAATCTTTACTATTGGTCAGGGCCGTAGCGATATGACTATCCCCAGGGGGGGAGACTGAGATCCGGCGCCCCCTAAGCGCCGCGAAGGCAATCCAAAGGTGAAGAAAAATTTATTGGTGACCACACCCAAATTTTGCCAATTTTAAGTAAATATGGGTATAATTTCATTCAATGAAAAATTAGATCAAAATGTTGTATCACTAAGGGCGGGTATTATAAAACTATTCTGACTTATAACTCAAAGTTAACTTCTGCGCCCGGATTCTATTTTACGAGTCGAATCGAATTATCTCGATATCGAATACGACAGCTCGGACTTATCGTGTAATAGGTAGGTATTGATAAATCGGAAAATAGAATCGCTATTTTTACAATTCGATACGAATTTCGACTCGACTCGTAAAATAAAATCTGGCAGCTGGAATTGCAATCAGAAGTAACGTCATTTCTGTCATTTCTGATGTTAACTTTCAGTTATTCTGTCAAAATAGTTTTATAATAGGCAATTTTTCGTGAGGATAACCAAGCACAATCTTTTGCTGGATTATGTGATGTGTCATTTGTGTCATACTGCCCTAACTCCCCCACCATCAAATTCTGGGATACTCGAGGATCAAGAACACTTAATTTCTTCTGTGAGAACAAACCGAAAATCACCTTTTCTACATTTGAAATTGACGAAAAAATTAACTCACTAGCATAGCCTGAATCGCAAGCAATCCATCCAGGTCTGCG